CCCCAAAACCCCAAAACCCCAAAACCCCAAAACCCCTCTTCAGAAAATTTCTCTTGACCCTGCTTTTATAAAATAAAGCTCCCAAGCCCTATAAATGCAGATATAATACAAGTTCTTTGAAGGGATAAGATCCCACCTAAAGTCAGGGACTCTCTCAAAATATGTAGAGTGGTTTATCACAACTCAGTGTGAGTATTCTCAATTATCCACTAAGAACTACTAAATTAAAATATTGTGCCTATAATTAAACTTAGTACAAGCCCTGGCTGTTCCCACTGGGGTTGTTCCGCTCTAGAAGAGTCATGGCAATACCTCTAACAGAGGATTTGTTCCTCCTCTTAGTGCTCTTCTTCCTGACTTTCTTTTCTGAAGAGAGAATCCCCCTCTTTTCTAGCCTGATTTTTTCCTGAATCTTTTCAAATTTGCTGAATAACTTGGTGACTTTAGGAGCAGATACAGAAATATTAGCCTTGCTTGCTGTATTGGGCCTCTTCCATGCAAACGCAGGATTTCCTCTCTTATTTTGATTCAGAGCAGACTTGAAATCTGAGAAAAGTTCTTGTACATGCTCACCAAGGTTGTCTAGCCTTGATTTGACATTTTCAATATCTGCCTTCTTTTGGGACATATTAACAGACTTGGTAACAATGTTGTTAATATTTACATTCTCTTCATGAGGGACTCTTTCCTGTTGTTTCTTCATACTGTTGATTTCTATTTTCATCTCTGAACAGATTTCAAGGAGGTTGTCTCTTTCCTCTCTGAGTTTCTCAATAATCTTTCTCTTCTCTTCAAGCTTCTTTTCATATTTCTCTACACTGTGGGTGGTAGGATGGCCATCTGGATTTCTTCCTTTAAGACGCTCAATTTCTTCCATTAATTGCTCTATTTCAGTTTCTTTTTCAAGTAATTTTAGATTAGCTTCATCAAGGTAGTTATTCCTTTTGGGGGATAGTAAAGAAGCAAAGCTGTTCTTGTCAGGTGACTTTCCACGTTGCTGGGCAATGTTTTCCATCTCGATCCTCATCTCTTTGATAATCATTTTAAGTTGTCTATTTTCTTCGAGGACAGCATTGTAATCAATTTTAAGATCTCCTGTTGGGGATATCAATTCTTCCCCCATTATTAATGCAAGTGTCCTCTCCCGAGGACTTCTAGTCTCATCTTGTCTGCTTAAAGAAGCTTCAGAGAGAGTTTTTAAATCAAATTCTTTATCCTGCTGCCTAAGTTCCTTTCTCATTTTCTCCATAGATTCATCATAAGGACCTCTGGAATATTTGAAGCCTGAGCTTCCAGTCATTTTAGCGAACTCATTTACTAAATTAGGGTTTGACTCAATACTCAGCATAAACTCAGACTTTGGCTTATCCTTCCCTGCAGATTCTCCAAACTTGATCTTATCAGAAGGAAACGATCCATTATTGGCAATGGATTTCTTGATGTTATAAATCTCTCTTTCTCGAATGATGAGGTTATCTTTCAGACGGTCTAGCTCTTTTTGAGTTGTATTTACTTGAGCTCGAAGGCGAACATTTTCTTCTTCATTATTCTTCAATTTCTTCTTCAACGTCTCAAGCTCAAACTTATCAACACCTTTCATCACCGAAGAGACTGGCTCATAAGCCTTTTTGGGTTCTTTATTTTCAAGTTCTTCGATATAATCATCCTTAGCGTCTAGATCTTGCTTCATGAGGAGGTTTGCTTCCTGGAGCTCACCGAATTCATATCTGAGGTCCTTATACCTATCTTCTACTTCTCTGAGTTTCTTGGAGACTTTCTCAACTTGTCTGTCACAATCCTCATAAACTCTCTTTATCTCATCAGTCATGGTATTCTTCTGTATATAACTCTCCTGGGCTTCATACTCAGTAGTAAGGGCTTGGTTATCCTTCTGAAATCTTTGGTTTGTGAATTCAAGAGATCGAATTTGCTCCTCGTAGTTCCTCTTCAAGTCACGAATCTCTGATGTTTTGAGTCTCTCGAAATCCTTCATTTCGTTCTGCATTTGGTCTCTTTCCTGTCTGACCATGGAGAGGAGGTCTATATTTTAGCCTAAAGTTCGTACCCTCTTTCTCACGTTTCACTTCATGTAGGAACTCTTTCTCATTCACTAAAGATGACAAAGGGATTTACAATTCATTTCTTCCTTAATTGATTGGAGTTCAGCTTCGAGTTTATCAATAGATTTGTTCTTTACCTCTACTAGCTTCTTTAGGCTATCCACATGTTGTCGCAGACCTTCCTCATGGAGCTAGATTAGGTTAGAGAATAGTGATACTCTTTCATCGCTTTCTAAACGAGAGATTGCTCTCTTTTTGTCTTCCAATTGTTGCACAAGCTCTTCATTCTCTCTGTCTTTCTCAGAGAGTAAGGAATTTTTCTGATTGAGCAACCCCATATATTCTGTTCTTATTTGGTTTATTTCTTCCTCTTTCTCTTCTAGGAGTTGTTTTCGATAATCTGGAACCTTCATTGAACCCATTTGTAGATCTAAATGTCACCAGAGAGCAGCTTACCTTGGATAGTCTTCTCATATTTTTCTTTTTTAAGGTTAAATTCGGATGTAAGTTTCATAATATCCTGTTGAGGATAGGAATTAACCTCTAAGTCAGCTCTTAATTTGGCCTAAAATATTATCAAATATTACGATTTCTTGTTTGTAATTATACGACTCCTTTCGTTCTCTCATTATATCATTATAAAAGACAGCCTCCTTCTCCTGAAGCGTATTCATTAAGGAATTAATCTTATTCTCATATTCTTCCCTTTTAAAATTTATGTGGGAGAATTGCTGCCTAAGTTTCTCATTCTCATCTTCTTTGATTTTCAACAGATTAGAGAACTTCTCAATTTGCTCCTTAAGTTCTTCATTGGTTCTCTCCAGTGCCCTGGCTCGCATGGCTCCTAGTCCTTTTAACTCCTCTTCCTTCTGCTTGAGGAGGTAATCAAGGTCACTATAATGTGACTCGTCGTTTTCGGACATTTAAATTTTAAATTTATTTAAAAAATGGGGTTTTGGGGTTTTGGGGTTTTGGGGTTTTGGGG